AATGGCTGTCTTTTCCAAGCAGCCCGGATGTCCTGGCTTCTCCCTGTTAGAGCTCCTCATCCCAATCTTTCTGCTATTCCTTATTCGACCCTGCATAATAGAATCTTAGACAGCTGGGCATGGTGGCCCACACCTGTAATCCCAGCACTCAGGAGGCTGAGGCAGGAGGATCACTGTGAGTTCGAGACCAGCCTGGGCTACATAGTGAGTTCAATCTCAACTACATAGTGAGACCCTGTCTCAAAAATAAATAAATAAATAATAAAATAAAATAACATCTTAGACAGATTTTATCCAGGAACGGATCAGATCCATGACACCTAAAGGACTCTTCCCAACTGCCCACTACAGTTATCACATGAAAAGCCCAAGGAGAAGGTCATCATCATCCCAACAGCTAAGCTGCCTTACACCAGGACTGAACCACACACACATACACACACACACATACCTCTCCTCTCTCTTCCCACAGGATGCCCGCTGACCCCAGTCATGCTAGAAGCATTCATGAGAAGGTAGCCCCCTCTAACCTTTTCTCCTTCTTTATAACAGAACAGGGATTACAGGTCCCCCAAGTGGGACCTTCCTGCCCAAGCTGACAAGATAACCTCCTCCACAGGAACACAGAGATAACCACAAGCCTGCAGCCACCCTGCTGCTCTCGCCAGCACCCTGTTTATCCACCTGCCCCAGGCCCATCACCCTGGGACCCTAAAATCCTCCTCCCTCTCCACCAGTTCCCCCCCTACCTAAATGGCCCCGTACCAACCCCTCACCGCCTCCTCTCAGTGCCGACAGCCTTCTCGCCCTTGGCCCACCTGCACCCAGATGGCAATAACCTCGTCACCTGCTGCTTAGACTTGTCCTGCCTCGGTGGTCCCAGCTGTGCCTAGTCTGATCTTTATCGCCAGGGTAGAAACCGGGGAGAGAACAGACCTGAGCAGGGAAGTGCCCAAGTAGGGTGGTTGTCAGGTGTTGCTCAGTACATCCTGGCCTGGAGGAGTCTGGGGACAAAGACAGCGCGGGTCCGTGCCCCTCACAGGCAGCTGTACAGATGCTTCTTAGAATCCAAGGTGTGGTGGCACACACCTAGGATCCCAGCACTTGGGAGGATTGCTGCAAAATGGAGCACAGCCTGGGCCACATAATGTCAGCCTGAAATACAAAGGGAGACAGACTTTGCCTCAAAAAAAAAAAGAAAAGAGAAAAAAAATCCCAGGCAGGAATTTGATCTCCCTTTTCTGCTGCCAGTAAATTTGTAATGGCTTTTCTAGCCCAAGGCAAAGTTTCCTGGCTAGTGGCAGGGGCAGGCTACTCTCCGTCCTCAGAGGTGACAATAATTGTTCCTTTATTTTTTAATCTTTTTTTTTTTTTTTTTTTGAGTCTGGCTGCAATCCTCCTGCTTCAGCCTCCCAAGGCCTGGGATTAAAACGTGCCACCATCCCAGCATTATTGTCCTTTTGTACTCCAAATGAGAACTGGCTGGAAGGATCAGGTCCAGCAGGCAGGGCGGAGCCAGGAGGGTCAGGGGTTCAGGGGAACCCCGTCGCCGTCGCCGTCGCCGACCGGACCAGAAACAGGAAGGAACCCCAGGTCCTCGCTGCCCCTTGTGGAGCCTGGCGGCAACCTGGGGACACTCGGCCAGCAAAGGGGGAGGGAACCGCGCTGTGCAGGTGACAAGGCCACCGGTGCCCCCCCCCGCAATGTCGTGGTCCCTGCCCCGCGCGCCCCCCTGCGTTGGTGGCGTTAGTGTCCGCGGTCCCCAGACTGCAGGAACGAGGTACTGGTGGGCAATCCCTGTGCCCCTGGATCGCGGCCCCTCCCGTCCCAGCTGAGGAAATAGAGGCAGGGCCGGGGCAGCTCAGCTGTGAATGGGGACGCGGGGACACAGGAAGTGTGGAATGTGAATTTCGACACTGGGTCTCACTAAGTTCCTACCTTGCCCAGGATGGGCTCCAACTTTCCATCCTCCTGCCTCAGTCTCCCAGAGTGCTGGGATTATAAATGTGCACCCCCAGGTCCTCCTCTGGCAGTTTTCTTCCTCTTTCTTCCTTCCTTCCCTCCCTCCCTCCATTCTTCCTTCCTTCCTTCCTTTCTTTCTTTGTGTACCGGGGATCGAACTCTGGTCTTTGGGCTTGCAAGGCAGGCGGTGGAACCACTGAGCTAAATCCCTGGCCCCCCCCTGCTTTCCCTTCACCCCCAGTAAGTGACCGCCCCACCACATTCAAGTGGTTTCCCTTTGGAGAATTTTCCAAATGCTGTGAAATTATCAGGAGCCTCCGGCCTTCCCACACCTTAGCGGAAGATCCTCCTGTTAGCGATACAGGGGGAAGAGATGTAACTCCCAAACCTGCTAGGTATCTGAAACGGGAGTTTGCATTCTCTAAAATTGAAGAATGAATTCTAGGAACACTGCTGTAAGACCTAGGGCCTTACTTCTACTCTGAGGAGCTTGAACAGCCGAAAGGGCCTCCAAGATGCTAGGCCTATAGCCCAGCGATGGCTCCAGGAGCTCCACAAGCAGGAGAATCACCCGGGAAGGAACCCACCGGACGAGTTGGAGAACAGACCTTTATTAGTCTGGCCAGAGGGCACTCCCGGAGCCAAGTAGCTCAGGGAGTTTCCAGCTCAGGGGCTGAGGTCCTTTTATAGGGAGGTAAAAGGGGGTTAACATTCTAAGCTTGCAGGCAGGGGACAAAGGTTAGTGGTCTGCTGATTTGAGCTGGTGGTCGCAGTCACGTACTCAGCAGTCACGTACTATCGATGATCAACAGATGCCTATAGGGTGTTTCAACAGCCACCAAGACATTCCGGATGAGCAAACAGTTCAACAATCAACTTGGGGTCTCTATGTATGCTACAGATTTAATCTCATTTTCTAGAATCACTAATTTACACATTAATCATGGTCAGGACTTCAAACAGTACAAGATTGCCTTACAGTCCTAAAACAGGGTTTGAAGAAAGGTCGGGGCTATGGCTACAATGGGACGGGGTTAGAGCACTGTCTCCTAGGCCCTTTGTCATTTAGCATGGGCTTGTCATTCAGGTTTTACTCTGCAGGTTAAGAGTAGGAAAAATCTGGTTAGGGGGATTTAGCTCAGTGGCACCACACCTGCCTCGCAAGCTCAAGGACCTGAGTTCCACCCCCAGTAGCAAAAAATAAAAAAAGAGTAGGAAAATTTTATTTATTTTGCTTTTGTTTTTGTTTTTTGAGACAGGGTCTTGCTATGTAGTTGAAACTGCCCTGAAACTCACTATGTAGCCCAGGCTGGTCTCAAACTCACAGCGATCCTCCTGCTTCAGCCTCCTGAGGGCTGGGATTACAGGCATGAGCCACCACGCCCAGCAGGAAAAGTTTACTGAAAGAGCATCTGTCTAAGAGAGGCAGAAGCAGGACTGGAAAGTAGGTTGCCCTCCCCTCAACCTTTCTTCTCAAAGAAAAACCTTCTCTATGTGACAAAGCCAAGAGGTGAGGCAGGTTCAAGGTGGGACAAAACTATAGTCAACTAGTACGATTGCAAAGACGGTTGCTTGGGTAATACTGATTAAATAGGGACCCAGAGGGGAAGCAAATCACTCAGCAAGCGCACGAGGAATGAGCAAGGATTTTCAGGGGTAAGGGGTGGGTGAAGGATCTTTCCTGGAAGTTCTTGGTCCCCCACCCAGGTGGTTGACACCTGCTTAGAATATCAGTCACTGCTATTTATCCTATGTGGGTGTGGCCATTTCTCTCCCTTTACAGTGCTGGCCTCAGTGATGTGTCTTCATTTCCCTCCATGTCGGCTCCTGGAGGGGGGCCCTGTCTATCTGCCTAAGAGACACCTAATTAACTTACCTATCTGCAGTATCAGGGCCAGGACAGAAGACAGGCATTGAGAGACACTGCTGTCTGGAGACGTCTAGGCCTCCCAGGAGCAAGGACAGTCCCTGCACTGGCTGGGCACTCAGCAGCTGCTGTATAAGGCAAATGAGAAGAAGAAACGGTTCAGGAGCTGGATTTGCGCCATGGCAAATAAAGCGGGCGGTGGCATCTTGAAGTCAGCAATCAGGCGTGGGACTTGGCTCTGCATTCGGCCACTTGGCCCGTGGTGGCCCTGGGGCAGCTGAGCACGTGTCCGGCACGGGGGCTAGCAGTGTCCTGGCTGTGGGTAGACGGACACAGAGCCCAGTGGTGCTTACTGTCCCTGCCCTGGTCATAAAGGGGCGCGGGGATTTTACTGCTCCATATCGAAGAGGGTACAGAAAATCCTGCCTCCAGGCCACCGGGCTCCTTATAAGGGAAAATGACTTGTAACCTCCATAGTACTTCAGCTTGGGCATGTTGCGATTTAATAAGAAAATTATTAAGATGACTGCCAGCATGGTGCGGTGGCATCCACCTGTAATCCCTGCACTCTGAGAGGCTGAATCAGAAGGGTTCCACGTTTGAGGCAGCCAGGGCAACTTAATGATCTATCTCAGGACAAAAATAAATTTCAAAGGGCTGGGGATGTAGCTCAGTGCAGAGGTCTGGATTCAATGCTCAGGACTGCAAAAGAAAAAGAAGGAAAAATAAGAAACTCATTCACCCCAAAGTCTGATCCATGGGTGTAGTTCCCTAGATGCAGGTGCTTCGCATGCCCACGGCCCTGAGTTCAAGCCCTGGCATCAAAAGAAGGGGGGTTATACTTGGGCAAAAACTGATCCCATCGAGATTGGGGGTGCCCTCCTGGCTAGGACCTAGGCTAGGACCTAGGCTGCAGGTCCCCAGTCCCTGGTGTCCCTGGGGTCCAGACAGCTGCTGTCAGTGTGTTCCTGCCCCTAATGCCCTTGCAGCTCCTGCCTGGGGCCTGCCTGGTGGCTCCAGCAGGAAGGAGCTCACTGAAAACCTCCCCCTCCCCCTCCCCTCCCTCTCCCCCTCCCCAGGGGCGGGTCAATAGAAGCCCAGCCTGGGCGCGTCACTTAAAAGCAGAAGTGAAAGTGCAGCCCGCTGGGTGACGAAGGGGTTATTCTGACTGGGACTGGCTATAAAAATGTCATTGGCTGCCAGCCTGAGGCCAAAGTGCGCAGCTGGTCCTTCTCTCCAGGCAGTGCACCTTCCTTGGAGGAGGCCAGCAAGACTCTTCCAGAGCAACGATGGAGCAGCCGCCCCACCTGCAGAAGAAGAAAGGGGTGAGTGCCCCGCCTGGGGAAGGAGCCAGGCACCTCACAGTGGGGCCTGCTGGGAGCAGCGAGCCAGTGCCGGCTAGGCCGGGAAGGAGCTGGGGGCTGCTGGGCTGGACTGGCTGGGCTGTGGAGCGAAGCTGCTAACAAACGCCTGGGAGAACACTTCTACGGGAACAGCTGTTGAGAGGTGTGGTAGTGCAGCACTGAAGGAGGCTGAGGCAGGAGGGTCACAAGTTCAAGACCAGCCTCAGAGACAGAGTGAGAAACTCTCAAAAAAAAAAAAAAAAAAAAAAGAAACAAACAAATGTATTAACACTCTCAAGGCATTTGCATTTTATTCATCCAGCAGTATCTGCTTGGACTGCACATTTGTTGTTGTTGCTGTTCCTTTGTTTTTTTTGATACAGGGTCTTGCGATGTAGCTCAGGCTGGCCTTACCTCACCATGGAGCACAGGCTGGCCTCAAACGCACAGCAATCCTCCTGCCTCAGCCTCCCAAGTGCTGGGAAGACAGATGTGTGCCACCACGCCCTGCTTGGAGCACACATGTGTGCAAGACATTGTGTATCAGGGGTGTGAGCTGCTTGCCTTGGGGACTAGAAACCTACTCCTGTGGGTTGCTATTCGCTCTCCCCACTCCTGGACTCTGAGGGACTTGAGCGGGGCTTTTCTGCAAGTTCGCTTTCCTGCCTGTAGCATGGGAATAATCTAGCGCCGTACACCTCCGGGGCCCGGGACAAGGGAAAGCTGTGATAATTCCCACACACAGCCCGGGATCTACAGAACTTGGCCCTAAGTGCTGTAGCCACAGGGCCCAGCACCGAGACATGGACAATTCCCCGTGGCAGTGTTGTCCTGCGTCCCAGGTTCATCCGCCTCTCCCACATGTGACAAGCTACTGCCGAGTCCCCAGAGGGCAGGAAACCCTAGCGCTTCAGTCACTGAGTTAGGGTTCTCAGAGCGCCTTGGCTCGGTGATCTTGTTTTTATTTCACAACTGAAAAGGTATTGGTGCCGGGCGTGGTGCCGCACGCCTGTCAGCCCAGCACTCCAGAGGCTGAGGCAGGAGGATTGCTTGTGAGTTTGAGACCAGCCTGGGCTCCATAGTGAGACCCTGCCTCAAAGAAAAGCTCCTTTATTGAGAATGTCACTCACATGCTATACAATTTCAGCCGTTTAAAGTGTAGACCTTGTTCCAGGGATTTAACTCAGTGGTGCCACCGCCTCCTTCCCAAGCAGGATGTCCTGGGTCTGATCCCAGGTACAAAAAACAAAAACAGCTAAAATGTAGACTTTGTCACCTTAAGAGAGAGGAAAATCTTATGTTGGTGCCACCAGGAGTGCACCGTGCTATGTGAAGACAGCCAGGCACCAAGGACTGGTGTTGCATAATCCCACTTGTTTGTGGGTCTAAAAAAAGCCCAGCTCAGGGAGGCAGAACCAAGGGCTTGGGGAAAGGGTGAGGGAGAGCCCGGGGAGAGTGCAAAGTTCCTGTGTGGTGGTGCAGGCAGATGGCTGAGTCCTGGCCGCCTTGGGCTTTTTGCTTTTTCTTCAGACAAGATCTCCATATGTAGTCCAGGCCAGCCTCTGACTCAGGATGATCCTCCTGCCTCAGCCTCCCGAGTGCTCAAAAAACAAAATTCCCAGTTCCCTCTGAACTGTGCAGTTTCCTTCCGGGAAGGTGATAGATTGTAAGTCATAGGAAGTAGAGGTGGACACGATTGAAAACCTGCTTTTCAGTGCATATTCAGAGGTAGACAACTGTCACCGTAGTGATTTAGGCTATTTTCATCATCTCTAAGACTTTGCTCTGGCCTTGCCCATCCTGAACATGTCACATAAGTGCAGCCACATGGCTGGCTTCTCACAGGTGTTTTTTTGTTTGTTTTTGGTACCAAGGATCAAACTCAGAGATCGTTGCCCTTGCAAAGCAGGTGGTGGAACCACTGAGCTAAATCCCCGGCCCTCTCACAGGTGTTTTTAGTGTCATCTGCTCCGTAGCGTGTAGCAGCCTTTCATGTCTTTCTTTTTCTTTCCTTACTTTTTTTTTTCTTTTGTGGAACTGGGAATGGAACCCAGGGCCTTCACACTAAGCCAAATTCCCAGCGATTTTAAATATTTTTTATTCTAAGACAGGATCTTACTACGTTGCTCAGGCTGGGCTCCAATTTGAGATCATCCTGCCTCGGCCTCCCAGAGTGCTAAGCTTACAGATGTGTGCCACCACACCTCATAGTACTTCTTGTCTTTTCATGGCCGTTGTGGGCACATGCCGTGTCATCGTGTTTTCCCACACATCAGCTGGTGGACACGTGGGTGGCTCCCACCTGAGGGTTCTAGTGCTGCTATAAAGACCTATGTTTGGGTTTTGCACGGACACACAGTTTGCTCCCCAGGGTTCTCATCTAGGAGCAGAATCACTGAGTCCCACGCTTGTCACTCTCTGTGTCTCACTCTGGGAGTGGTTGCCAGACTTTTCCAGCCTGGCCCTGCCCTTCTCCCATCCTGTCAAGGCTCCTGCTCACGATGCTCTGGAGCTGCTGTTCAGACAGCTGGGAAGCAGCCCTTCACCATAGCACTGATTTGCGCTCCCAATATGGGAGTACCAAGCTCTTTGCTTTACTCTGCGGAGTCCTCAAAGCCTGTACTTCCTGACCCTGTATAGTTCAGGCTGGCCTCAAACTCAGCAGTGACCCTCCTGCCTCAGCCTCCTGAGTGGTGGGATGAGGGGTGTGCACCACCATGCCCAGCTGGCCTGTCTCCGTGAGCCACTACAGCACAAGGTGAATTAAAGATTTAAGACAGGAAAGGAGATTTAGAGAAGCTGGGCACGGGCCTGATTAATGCTGCTCTGAGCAGCAAAGACAAGGCACCTGAGCTTGCCACTATTTCCTGTGTTATAGGGAGTAGCCGATGATTCAGAGGTCAGTGATGATCCCTGGATGATGGTATATCAGATTCTCAGGGGCGGTGGAAATCCTAAACTGACAAGGATCTTATGCTGATGAAGATCTTAGTTTGATGAGGAGTTTATGTTGATCAGGACGGAGAGAGGAGCAAAGACTTCTTACAACTGTAGGTGGGAGGAGTTTATGTTGATCAGGACGGAGAGAGGAGCAAAGACTTCTTACAACTGTAGGTGGGATGAGTTAAGCTGAAAAGGAACATGTCCCTCCCCAGGTGAAACCTTTCTCCTACGGCTGGGTTCTCAAGGAACCAGGATGTCCTCAGCTGATGTAATCTTGTCCTTGATTGTCCCAGCATCACGGGACCATTGAGGTCTCCACTGTGACCAGAGGCAAAAGTGGAGTTGTTTCGCCATGTCCGTAGCCATCCTGTAGGCAGGAAGTCTAGGCCTAATCATAATTAATTGTGAAATGATCTTCCCCAAAATTATGTAGAATGGCTTCTGACACCTGCCCACACCTGTTCTGTATCCAGCAGCTGAGGTGACCCCGGGATGTCGAGCACAGCAAGTGAGAGCCCAGCTCTTCCACGGCCCACCCGTGCCCCTGGAGCCAACCTTCCCCATGCACTGCGCCCTGCCCCCCACTTCTGACCGCAGTGTCCCGAGGGTGTTGTGGGTGCCCCCTCTGGACTTCCTGACAGGGGAGCTCAGAGCTGTTGATGAATTAGCCATTTGTGCATTCGTTTGGTGAAAGCAGATCTCAGCCAAGTGAGAAGGGCTAAGTTTTACTTGCTTTCTTTTTGTTCTTTCTTTTTCTTTTTCTCTTCCCTCCTTATTTTTTCTGGTATTGGGTTTGAACCCAGGGCTTCCCACATACTAGGAAAACTTTGCTCTACCAGTGAACTATATCCTCTCCCTTTGCATTTTTAAAAATTATTATTTTGGGGGGGTCGAGGCAGGGTCTCCCTTTGTAGTTCACGCTGGCCCTGCCTCAGCTTCCCAAGTGCTGAGATTACAGGTCTGCGTCAACACTCCCAGCTCTGCATTTTTTAAAATTTAGAGATGAGCCAGTGGGTGCCCATACTGGCCTCAAACTTGATTTTACTGCCTCAGATTCCCAGATTGCTGGGATTATAGATGAGTGTCATTGTGCCTGCCTGCCATACAGGGATTTATTAGGCAGAAATGTAAAGTACTCACTCAAATAGAATGTAGGCCCTCCAAAGAGAGAGGTGAGGTACAGTTAGGAGGTGGGAATGTTTATGTGATTTTTGGAGGTGGAAATCTAGAATTTGTGACTCTTTGGGGAGTTCTCACTTGGTCTTGGTTACAAGAAAAAGGGTAGCCCACTCCCATAAAGATAGTGGCCCACTTTACAGGCGAAAGCCCTGGAACACCCCATGTGTTTTTATGGGTGATCTAAAATGTTTTATCTAAAAACATTCTTTGAATTTTCTCAATCTGTTCCCTTATCTTAAAGTCAGCCTTCTGCTCTTTATAGACGTAAAGTATCTTTACAGGATTTTAGGTGCAACAGGCCTAGAAGAAAAAGCGCAGACAAACCTAAGGAATACTGATAATGCATGACCGTGGATGACTTTGTGTCCAGGAGCTGCTGTTTTCTTAAAAACATAAATCTTTTTGTTTATGATTTCCTGTGTCTCTTTTCTACCTATCTTTATATAGGGTCTCACTATGTAGTTCGGGATAGCCTTGAACTCATTCTGTAGCCCCATCTGGCCTCAGTAATTCTGCATCAGCCTTTGGGAGCATTATAGGCAGTGCCACCACACCCAGCAATCCCTTATTCTTTTTTTTTTTTTTTTTTTTTTTTTT